ATTCTCTCCCTCTCCTCACAGGAAATCTCTCGGATTGAAGTTCCTTCTTTCCCTCCGTCTCAGGTCTCCTCCTCCTCCTCCTCCTCCTCCTCCTCCTCCTCTTCCTCCTCCTCCTCCGCCTTCTCTCCGCCTTCTCTCCACCTATCTCCACCACCTCTTTGCCTCCTCTGCCACACCCTCCCCCTGACTCTGCCTCAGGCGCCGCTACCAGCTGTTCCTTCAGCCCGCGTCCTCCTCTCCTCCCCTCTCTTCGCGTCGCAGCCGAAGAATTGGTGGGAGTAAAGAAACAACATCGGCTAGGAAACGACATCGACCAACTGTCGAGGGTTGAAAGGGAACTTACTTCTTCATGTGAATGTTGTGTGAAAGCAAATTCTTCTTCAATGAAAGAACTTCATCAAACTACATTTAATGAATAAAGTACATATCAACATGTACAGCGAGGCTCAACGGAGCCCAGCTACGATAGAGCTGCTATCTTTTTTTCCGGATTGGGAGGTACAGATTGCGTTTCGTCCAAGTCCAGCTGGACGGAGCAGGCGTGCACCGCCTGACTCCTCCTGCTTGGCTAGACGCCCCGCACCACCAAGATACTCAAGTCTCACCAAAGCCGACAGTCGAAAGAAGGTCCACCCCTCCCTCACGACTTCGCGGCCTTGGGTCTCCAGGAGCTCCCGGCAGTTACTGCACTCGTCTACTCTCACTCGTTCTGATCAGATCCAACCTGACACCCAGCTGCTTTCCCGGCTGCTGGATTACAGGGAGATCCAATCGAAGCAATCGTCCATAGGAGGCCACCTTGGCTAACCAGCTTTCTCGGCTGGCAAAAGAATGGCCTCGTCTGAACTCTCAAGCTGCTGTAAACTTGAGAGAGTTTCCCAACTGTTTGTTTTCACTGATCGGAGGTGCGAAGGATGTGAGACGTCCACCGCTCACCCTCGCGTTTTCCTTTCAGCGCCTTTGTTCAATGCTCCATCGTAACCTGAGCCACCCCCAATGCGGGGATGTGCCGGTCCCTTCACCTCTAGTATACCCCGTCCCCAGTATAGTGACAATTGTTTAAGCGTGTACACTCAGGTAGTCATCGATGCCGATGCCATGCATGCCACAGAAACCGTTCAGTTCCATCATCTCATCTTCCATGTAGACATGCGAGCTGTTGTAAGTCACTTGCGCATCCTCTTGTTCGAACGGCAGAGACCAGACCGCTGAGTTAGCCAAGGCAGCCATGAGTTCTGCATCTCCTGCCTCGGTGGCGTCACCATGGCTGCCGGAAGCTGAACCTTCATGAGACTGCTCCTGCACCACTTGAGCGAAGCTCTCTGACTGTTCACTTCCCGCCTTGGCACAACCAGCCAACATGGCAATGAGATCTTCGTCCGAAGCTGCCTGTTCAATCGCAAAGTCTTTGGAATTCTCGCTTGTGAAGTCTTCTTCGTCAATGCCGGGCATTTCATCCATGCAGTCGTCCGCCTGCTCATCTTCGGCGCAATCGTGCACGGAGTCTCGCTCGTCGATAGACAGCTGAGCCTTCCCGTTCACTCCCTTCACCACGAAGCAGATGTTTCCACTGCCCTCTGTCATCCTCTTGAGCATCTCCGGTGTGAGAGAAAGCTCAAGCTTCAACGGCTTGCCGTTCTCTTGCACGGTCGTTGCAATTCTCACCGGGACCTCTGAGTTCTTGGCGACTTCCCGCTTTGTTGGAGAAGGCCAGACCTGGCCTGCAGGAGTTCGAGTTTCACACTCGCGCTCTGCAAGCGGGGAAGCAACTCTCGCGTTGTAGGAGGGTGAGGTTGAAATAGACGACGTGGCCTCGTATTGACGGGGAGTTGTCGCAACAGAGGCGTCCGACGCACAGAAGGTAGGCGAGGAAGACCCGGAGCTATCCGTCTGATCCGCAACATCGTTCCACCGCGGGTACGAGCTTACAGCTTGCAGCAGGGAAGGATCATCCTTCGCTCCGGTCATTGCAGTCTCAAGCTTTCGAAGCTTCTTGTCCAAGCTCTTGATCTGAAAACGAAGTAAGCGAGTGTTCTCAGTCACCACAAGAATAATACCTTGCGATACGGCCATCTGTTGATTCCGTTTTGGCGGCAGACCTTCTTCAAAGAGGTGAGGCAGATTCCCAGTTCCTTCGCAACGGCCTTCTCGGGCATTTTGAAGTACTTGGAAAGCTCTTGCATGGTGAGATCGACGGTTCTCTGAGTTGGCATAGCTCTCTGATTCACCAGGTTCACGCTATTGTCTTGTGTTGGTGTCTTAATCTTGGTGTCTGAACCGAAAGGTGATGACACTCCGTGTATGTTGAAGGTGTTGATTTTTGTGATTTTTTGTTTGTTTTGTTTGTATTCCCGTTCCCTCTAGAAGATGTCGGTTACCTCGAGCTGCTCCGCAACTACGCAATCAAAACGAACGACCCACCGAGTTGAAGGACAAGTCCAACAGACTACGGGGGTGGATGGGGTCGTTCGCTCTGACCGCGCAGCTGCTAAGCCAGCTGTAGTGCTCTGATCAACTTGTCTCCTAGGAAGGAGCCCTCCTTGCAAAGTGCAAGCCTCCAAGTAGTTGAAGGGTGAGCTAGTGCCCCGTCGATGCCTTCAAAGGCTCACTCCCTCTCCCAGAGCTCCTGGGTCAGGATGATGAGGTCGAGACGCAGAAAGCGAGAGGGAGGGGGAGGACACGACGCGGGTGTAGCAGGGAGGGAGGGCAGCGGGAGGTGCGGGAGGATAGGAGCGAATTAAGCTCTGCCTCCCCTACTCCCACCCACCCCCTTTCTCGTTTCACCACCCATTGTTTTACCATTCTACACCCCACCCTTTTATATCACCCGTGGGGAATAAGACCACCCCTACCTTGGAATTCAACACTCACCCACTAACTTATCCCACCCTACCCACACATTGGACACTTTGTCCTGCAAAATATATTTTAAATGGTACTAAATGTATTACCAGAACAAAAACATTTTCTGTACTGGGTACATGGCATGTACTAGGAAAGCTTGCAGAAGTTCATTGAACTACTGTGATGTATGATATTATAAGTATTTTAAATGGTACATCTAATTCAGTGATCTTGCAAGTTTCAGTACCAAAAATTATAAAATATCAACAACACTACCATTTTCTCTAAAGTGATATGTAGAATTCATCCAAGGACTCAGGTTGTTCAACTCGGTACAAATTGATGTACCGCAAACTTAAAAGTCGATGGGGTAGGGTGGGTAGGGGGTGTGGGGGGCCAGCTCCATAAAATCGAGAGGTAAGCTGGTCATCGACAGGGGTGTAAGACTATTGTACAGGGGTAGTGGGAAAAAGGAAAACTGTACGTTATGGTAAGGGTGGGTCATTGATAGTCGGATAGGGGGTAATCTGTTCGGAAGGAGCAAAAATGAGGGGTGAGGGCTGTAGGTGGAAGTCGGAACTCGGTGATTGTAGCAAGGGGGGTTGTTATACAATGTTATACAAGTGATAAATTAGTTTATTAATAACTCAACATATTTCTTTTCGGCAGCATTGGGATTGCTCCTGAGATTGAGGGGTTGCAAATAAGTATTTTGAGCATCTTTATATTGCATTTACACGATGAAGCTTTTGTTTTTGGATATCTTTTGGATCAGCCGGTACCTTTTTGCATTGGTACTAAAGGTGTCCTACAAACATTTACCTGGCTCACGGGGGTGGTCTCGGGGGGTAGGGGGTTATTCGATCGCCAATAGAGACCTTGCATTGATCTTTCCGTCTGGCAAGATCCCTGACAGACAAGGGGACCACCCCTGACTCCCACCCTGTTTTAAATGACCCCTACCCCCTCTTGAAACTCTCCGATTCATGTCCACCCCACGATAGATATAACACTACCGTGTCTTCCATGCGTTTTCTCCGAAGCACATCCGAGTATGACCCCCCCATGTTCGATGACCCTACCGAACATCTTCATGCCCCTGGATTCCGCCTAACGGTCAATCAACCCCACCCTTCCAGCGTCTTGCCTTGTACCTTTGTCTCCGTGCATAAAAATCTATGCGCCGCTGTTTCAGTATTACCAAGATCTTTGAGAATACTGTGATAAAACATCTAAGAAATGTTTCAAGAGCTGAAATGTATTCAAATACATCTTTCAATTTGAACATTTTTTCAGAACAGATTGAAACATCTAGGAAACATTTATGGAAATCAATATATCATCAATAGAATCTTGCACTTCAAATTGGTTAGGTTGCCAGGGGACCCACCAAGCTCCTCCTTGCAAGGACACACCGGGGTAGATCGGATGAAACTCCTTGATAGGGTAGGGTCAAGTTTTCCAGGGGTCAGGGGTACATGTACGATCGACCATAAGGGTGGTAGTAATAAAAGCATTCAAACTTGGGGGTAGGGTTATCGTTTGCCCGTCGTAAAGCGATGAGACTGATGAATGGGTTGCTATCGCTTTGTCATCAGTGCCGAATCAAAACCAATTTAAAATTCAAAGAGACTCTTTTTCACAGAGATGTGACCAGTGTTTAAAAATATAAAATACAGTAATGTAGCAACGGTCGTAAATACTGTCAGCAAGACTTTTGATCCAGTGGTAGTCCCCATCAAGGGTAGGTGGTGAAAACGGTGGGACGTTTTAGACCAGGGGGTGGGTCTTCATCTGAGAAAGGGGGTGGGTCTACAAAGTTAATGATGATCACCGTGTAGGGGTAGAGGAAAGCTTTGAGGTATATCCAGGTTGGTTTTGTAAAGGGCAAAGTGGGTATATTGTGGGGTGGGGTGGTCTTTATCCCATGGCTACTAAATTCGCAGTCAAATAACCAATATTTCAACATCTTCGTCAAACGTTCAAATTCAAAGACGAACAACAATCGGGTTTTCGAAAGTTGATCCAAAATGTGATACGACTGGATACAAGGCCTTAAAAAAGTTTCGGAGTGGGACCCCACCACCTTGCAAGATTCGGTGTCTTAGACCGGTGCATCTGGGTTGCCGGGTGACTAATAACGGATCGATGGTGTAAAGTCCTATGCGAACATATCTTCTGTTTCAGTTTGAAATTGGATGGGAGAATTTGAAACAATTTGAGCAATGTGAGTTGAGTGCTGATGTCATCCCAATCCGGATCTATATAATATCCCTTTTGAAGAATCTATTTGTACCGGAGATAATCAAAATATTTATATAATTCTGTACAGTGCGCTACAGGAGCTTGACATTTAAATTTAAATGTATGTTTAAAATGGCCTCTGGGGCCTCAAGTGTCATCCATCCGATCGGGACCTGGCCTCCTATAATAACCCTTTTACCTCACAGATCAGTTTACTATTATTATCAAGCTGTCCCATACCATATGAACTTACAAATATATTAAATGTGTACCGCATACAGGTTGATGGTCATTAAATTGTTTTAGAGTTTTAAAGAATGACACCTCGACGCTCAAGGGCCGTCATCCTGTCATCGGTACAGTGTTTGCCTCAATCAGGCTCCGGAGGCTCCGACTTAAGTCACCTGCCGAGTCACGCCAGACCCGGCCGGGCCGGCCGCCGCGGCCGCCCGGCGGGGCCCGGCGTGACTGGCAGCGGCGGCGGCGCACTGACCGTACGGGCCGACCGGGACCGTGGCAGCCTCCGCGGCCGGGGAGTCAGCCTCAGCCGAATCATCCGACCGCTCCCGACTCGGCGAGCCTCCCCCCGGTGCCGCGGTGGCACCGGGAGTCACACGCAGCCGTCCGGCGGGCCGGGCCCGGCGCTCGCCAGGCACTCCGAGGCTCCGATCAGTGACTGACTACTCGGGCCGCACACGCGGCAAGTTTCGGCAGCGCCAACCCATCCAGCTAGTCACTGGGAATAGAAAATTGGCGTCGAATTTGGCGCACCAAAATGTCAATAGTTTTCGAAGAGCAGCATCAGGAGGAGGAGGAGGAGGAGGAGGAGGAGGAGGAGGAGGAGGAGGAGGAGCAGCAGCAGCAGCAGCAGCAGCAGCAGAAGCAGAAGCAGCAGCAGCAGGAGCAGCAGCAGCAGCAGCAGCAGCCATGAACGCTATCGAGCACCATGAACGCTCTCGAGCACAAGAACAGCAAGTTACCATGAACGCTCTCGAGCACAAGAACAACAAGTTAAGCAGGAAGGGTAGAGAGACAAGTTTTGTTAGAGCAGAGAGTGAGAGAGGACAAGATTGAATAGATGCGTGGAATATGAAGTCATCTTATTCGGAAGATTATGCCAAAACAACGCAGTTATACTTTGACGATGTCGATCATAAGCCCATGAAAGAAGAAGAGCGCGAAGAGAGCATTGAGAAGGAATCCTCTCAGGATTCCCAGTGTGCATTCTCACTTCTCTGGTACCCACCATTGATGGCATGCAGCGCAGGAGGGTCGGGGATGCACGAGGACTTTGTCCGTCACGAGTCGTCTAGGCGATCGACCGGCAGCAGCACGCGTGAAGGAGATGGCTCCGCTGCGACCTCGCGCCTTGGCGGCATCGGGGTGGCGCTTTCACTGGGGGTCAGTCGAGACTTAGAAACGGCAGGGGAACGAGCGTTTTACATCTCCAAGCTCGACAGGTTCGGATGGCCTGCCAATGCTGAACTGCCAAATCTGACTGATCGTCTTCACTGTCTCGTTCCTCGCCTCCCTTCCTTCCTCCCTCTCCTCCTTCCTATCATGATCCTCCCTCTCTTCCTCCCTCTCTTCCTCCTCCCTCCCTCCCTCCCTCCCTCCCTCCCTCTCTTCCTGCGAGCGTCGGGATTC